AATTAGATAATATATAACATAAATATGAAAGTGTGTTTGTGTGTATAGTGAGCTCTTGCAATACAAAGCATTTCTAAGGATTTCACTATTATAGCTATTAATGATAGTGAATATTGTTTTGATATGCCACTTAGATGGGATTTTTTTAGCTTGAAGAAATTTTAGTAAAATTACAATAATGCTCTGAGTTAATAATATGACCAATAAACGGGGCTTATATTTTTAATTCCAAACCTGGTTTATTTAGATTTGTCAGCAGTTGATATATCATGTGAAACAGTTTCCTCCATAGTTTGTGAGGTTTCTCAATGACTTCTGCCTCTGTGTTTAGTAACTTAGCATTTTTATGACTCAGAAAGAGTGTTTTATCACTCTTTCCAAGCTTTGAGAACCAGTTATCTGGGCATTCATGGGAAAGAGCTGGGCAGCGGGGAAATCTGTTCTGGGTCACTAGTCTTTCTGAGGAGGCAACTGTCTGCCTTTGCCACCCTCTTCCTCATGGCTGCTGCTTTCCGTGGACGTGGAAATCTCTCTCCCCAGCCCTGAAGCGTAGGGAGGGAGGAGGACTCTGGGTGGACGGCGGGAGGGGCCTCAGGGGGTAAGGAGGGGAGAGACCCTTTGAAGAGGGTCTCTTCCTTTTCTTTACAACATTGCTGTCCAGTAAGAGGATGTATTAAAACCAGCCAGAAATCAGAGGAGGGGAGCGAGTACAGCAGTATAACCCCATCATACTGAGAAAAAAAAAAAAATCAAAAAACTTCCCTGGTGTATTCCCTAGCTTCATTCAGCTACATACAGTTACTTGCAAAATTACGAAATTTATTAGACTCTTGCTAAAACTTATATGTTCAGATACTATTATTGCACCCTGAAGGTTACTTATTTTTCTTTTTTCTTTTTTTGTTTTCTGAAAGCCTCAAGCCCTGTTTGTTTTATCTGTTTATTTTGGGTGACATTTGCTTTGAGTTTTCTGCTCTTTATTATCTTGCATCGATTGCCACATTCATTACTTATTGTGCATTTGTCTTCTCTCTCCTGGGTAACTTCAAGATAGAGTTGTTTCAGCATAGAAGTTTGGTGTCATGGGAGAGACATCAAGGCATGCTGGTTCAGAGAGCAAAGCCGTGCTCTGGGGAGACCTGATGTGGAGACCATGACTCCTCTGCAGGGACAGTGGGTTCCTGATGTGGCTTCCGTTTGCTGTGCTGTCTGTCACCAGGACACAGACGTGGAGGGAGCAGGGAGAGGAATGGTTCTCTGGAAGGGTGTCCTGAGTGGATGGGAGGTGGGGATGCCGACCGGGGAGCACCCTGTGGGGTGACCCCTGTGGACGGGAGGAGACAGAGCAGCAGGGGTGGAGGGAGACAGAGGCTGCGTGGGGGTTCATCCCGAGGGCCTCAGTGATGCCAGGGCCCTTGGGGACAGTTCTGGAACTGTACACCATCCCGTGGGGATGGAGTACCCCATCCCAGGGACAGTGGGGTGGTCCCTGACATGATCTGTCCCTGAAGATGTGGCCCCCGGCGGTCTGTCCCTGAGGGCCATGCCAGGGGGCTGGCAGCAAGCAGCCACCACTGGCCACTCCTTCCATGCGGGGCCATCAATGGGGAGCTCCCCATGTCCGCCAGGAGTGCTGTCCACTCCAGGAGCCTCACAGTCTAGCCATGGTGCTGGTCAGAATGATCAGTTAGAACCACATTACCACACAGGACTAACTTCCTCAGTGAGCTCCCCAAGGTGTGTAAAGTACCTTCACCGTTCTGATGTCTCCTGTTAAAAAAACGTAGCTAAGAACTCATGCTCATGGGCAAAGATTTGACAACCCACATATACAACATTTAAATGTTTTGTCAGGCCACACGACTAGATGAGTGGGGCCATAATTCAAAATCCAAGGCCAGACCCTGTTGTATTATGTCAAGAAGGGAGCATTCCACTCATCACTCCTGGGTTCAGCTAAACATGCAGAGTCATGGAAACAAAGAGATCATGCAAATAAGAATATTTTTAAAAGATCAAGGAAACTTTAAGTATCTTTGACATTAATTTCTCATTTAAATGCTTTGTTCGCTGTAATCATCTTCTGTGTTTTTTCACTCTTTTAACCTTCTTGAGGCTTTCAATGGCTAAGTCGAAGATCTCTCTTGATAAATGTCACACAGCACTTGAAAATATGTGGGATCTCTTCAAATATCCTTTGATACTGATTTCTAACATCAGTTCAGTTCAGTCGCTCAGTCGTGTCCAACTCTTTGCAACCCCAAGGACTGCAGCATGCCAGGCCTCCCTGTCCATTGCCAACTCCCAAAGCTTGCTCATGCTCATGTCCACTGAGTCGATGATGCCATCCAACCATCTCATCCTTTGTCATCCCCTTCTCTTCCTGCCCTAAATCTTTCCCAGCATCAGGGTCTTTTCCAATGAGTCAGTTGTTCACACCAGGTGGCCAGAGTATTGGAGTTTCAACTTCAGCGTCAGTCCTTCCAATAAATATTCAGGACAGATTTCCTTTAGGATGGACTGGTTGGATCTCCTTGCAGTCCAAGGGACTCTCAAGAGTCATCTCCAACACCACAGTTCAAAAGCACCAATTCTTCGGTGCTCGGCTTTATTTATAGTCCAACTCTCACATCCATACACGACTACTGGAAAAACCATAGCTTTGACTAGATGGACCTTTGTTGGCAAAGTAATGTCTCTTCTTTTTAATATGCTCTCTAGGTTGGTCATAACTTTTCTTCCAAGGAACAAGTGTGTTTTAATTACATGGCTACTGTCACCATCTGCTGTAATTTTGGAGCCCCCCAAAATAAAATCTGTCACTGTTTCCACTGTTTCCCCATCTGTTTGCCCTGAAGTGATGGAACCGGATGCCATGATCTTAGTTTTAATCTCCTCTTTCACTTTCATCAAGAGGCTCTTTAGTTCTTCTTTGCTTTCTGTCATAAGGGTGGTGTCATCTGCGTATCTGAGGTTATTGATATTTCTCCCTTCAATCTTGATTCCAGCTTGTGCTTCCTCCAGCCCAGCGTTTCTCATGATGTACTGATTTCTAACATAGTTCCACAGTGATAAGAGAACAGAGTGCATGATTTCAATACCTTTAGACCATAAATATTTAGACCTTATTTTTATGTGTCTAGATATGTTTCAGTATCTCCTGGTTTATAGTATATGGGAGCTTGAATAGAATTTGTACCCTGATGTTCTGTGGACATTGCATAAATCTTAATCATGTTGAATTGGTTCATAATGCTTTTCAGGTCTACTGCATCCTTCTACTTCTCTCTGTTTTCATACTACTAATTTTTGAGAGTTTGATATAGAAACTCCAACTAAACATCTTAATTTATCTACTGAAAAAAATAATTGTAGTATATAGCAGAACTATCTGTAATTTTGTTCTGTATTTTCCAAGTCTCCTGCAAATGTGTTATTATGCTTTCATAATTTAAAAAATAAAAATTAGGAAAAATATTTTGAAAAATAATCCAATGGTCTTTTAGGTAGAAATAATACCAGCTTGGGCTTCCCTGACAGGTCAGTTGATAAAGAATCTGCCTGCAATGCAGGAGACCCCAGTTTAATCCCTTGGTTTTGAAGATCCACTGAAGAAGGGATAGGCTACCACTCCAGTGTTCTTGGGCTTCTCCTGTGGCTCAGCTGGTAAAGAATCCACCTGTAATACAGGAGACCCACATTCAATCCCTGGGTTGGGAAGATCCCCTGGGGAAGGGAAAGTCTATCCACTCCAGTATTCTGGCCTGGAGAATTCCATGGGCTATACAGTGCATTGGTTCGGAAAGAATCAGACACAACTGAACAACTTTCACTTTCACTTTCAATACTAGCTTGCCATTATGCTTGTGCAATGCTTATGAATTGGCTCCAAAGCAAAGAGGACGAACCCAGGACGAAGCAGTCAGGCAGGAAGAGTTCTCCTCTGCTCAGGAAAGGGTCGGTTTTGTGTTCTGTTCAGATCTTCAGCTGATTACATGAGGCCCAGCCACCTGGAGAGGGGCGAGCTGCTCTACTCAGTCTAGGGATTGAATACTCATTCTCTTCCCAAAACCCCCTTCACAGAAACATCCAGGAAAACATCTGACAAGATAAGTTGACGTATAAACTAAACATCACCCCTTTTACAGATAAATTGGCAGGCTCTGAGTTAACTTACACAGGCAACATAGATACCAGGTTGTGAGCAAAGATTTGAACCCAGAGTTTCATGATACTCTAGGTCCATATATGTAAATCATATGTAAGCATGTAAATCATAAATATTTGCTATTTTTTGATTTTAATAAAATACATTTGATGTTTAAAGCAAATTATTTCATATTAAAAGTTCACTTTCTAGTTTCTTCCCACAAATGACTTCCCACATTTTTCCCCCCAGAAATGACCAGAGAAGTAAAATTTCTTAAAATATTTGATGTAGGACTTAGAAAACTCAAGAAATATTTACAGTCGAGAACTATAATTTTAGAAATCAATACCATACATGTATTTTTATATTGCCTATAGGTTATGAGAGTCTAGAAGTACTGATGTCCTTTTATTTAACATTTTATTCCAAGCACTCAGAACAGAATTTCCTCATACTAGCTCCCTACCAATAAATATTTGTTAAATTTTGAGTGATTAAATGACTAGATGAATAAGTAAATACCTTTTATCTGTCCTCAAAATTTTTCATGAATGTAACAAGATTAGAAAGTGGTGGTAAGCAGGTTTTGATGTAGACGATAATCTCACCACATATTATTTTTGCTTCTAACACTGTGATTATAAGATACGATCTTGCTGGCGGATAGCCTTGCGTTAATTATTCACAAGCTCTTGTACTTGGTTTAGTTTGCATCATTCACCCCTTAGAACATGTCCCATATTTCAGGGGTTGGTAAGAAAGCAGTTATGACTGGAGATGCTGTGAAGATAAAATGCAGTTTCATGATATTGCTCCAAGTCGTAGCTAATAACGTTTTTGTTTCTTCCAGTGAAAAAGGCGATTGAATTGAAGTCAAGAGGAGTCAAGGTGATGCCCAGCAAGGACAGCAGCCATAAGAACTCTGTCTGTAAGTCACCCTCTCTCTGTATGAGGATGGATGTGTCCATTAGAGGGGAGCACTTCTGGAAAAGTGCTTCTCTAAACTGCCTTCCCCACTGCATCGCGTTCTGCTCTCCTACCTTCAAAAATGTTTTCTGGGAGAGAGAGTCTGCACTAACTTCACTCTATTTGGAGAGAGCGTGTGTTCATCGTAATTCTGAGTGTATCTCACTCCGCCTGTGCCCTCTGCCCTCATGGGCCACGGTCTGAGACTGGACCTTCCAGAGTTCTCTGTTAAGTAGCTGTTCCACCCTCAGTGTTTAGATCCCAGCTTCTCTTTCCATTCTAGTGTATACTTAAGTGTATACTCCCTGTTTGATAATTATGGGTGGTACTATTCAAATTGCACTGGGTTTAGTGAAGGAATAAAACTACTGGAGGAAAAGAAGAAAGAAAGTACTTATTTCAAAATAAAGGTTTAGTGTTTTACTGTTGTTAGTTTTCAGTTTAGAATGTTTCCTAAAATGGGGGATGTGGTGTTTATAATTATTTTGAAGTTGATTTTTTTTAATGGATAAAAACCTTGCAGAAGCAGTCCATAGGAACATAGAACTGTGTATTGAGTGAACCCTTCCATCAAATCAACATGAGGTCTGAGACCAGAACAGGCAGACATCAAATGTATCTCTTAGTGCCACGTTTAAGCAGGAGCTTTTTTGTGAAAAAGAAAATAAGTATGTCTGGGTTCTTATCTGAATACAAATTGACAAATGAGTCATAACTCATTGGCATTAGAAAGCATTCCGTCCTTTCTCCCAACAGTATTCCGCCACATTTTTTTGTTAGACTTGAAAATTAATCATTAGAGGAAATGAAGAATTGAGGAAACTGCAAGCCTTCTAAGATCAGCCTTGTAATAAATGGTAATATGTTATTCATGCGGAAGGTGTGGCTGAGGAAACTAAATTAAGTGCTTCTGAGAAAAGAGGACACAGACTTTGAAGCTGGAGAGACAAGGATTCAATAGCTGTGAGAGTGTTGATTGTATTCAAATCCAAGTTGCCTCATTTATAAAAGTAAATGGTAATGATTCTTGTTGAGTAGATGAAGCATGGTGTTTATAACTGCCTGTTCCAGTATAGGGCAGGGAGTGAGCATTCTGCAACTACACCCATTAGGAATGTGCTGTACATAAAAAGAAGAAGGAATGATTCTACACAGTAGGTCAGCCAAGAATTCAAACAACCTGGATCTTACTTGCCAGAGCATTGACCTTGTTTTCTAAGATCTTAGGAAATAGTTTGACTCCTCACAGGAGGTGAGCCCAGGACACAGAGCCCCTAAAGCCCCATCCAGGACACAACCTTTTCCTAGGAAGCAGTGACGCCCTTCCCATCGTGATGGGGTGGAAGGGGGCGCACAAAGGTGATGCATGTTTTTTATAGATACGGTGAGCCTTGCTGCAGGCATGCCAGTTGCTGACACTCTTATTAAGTCATTTATATACAGATTATCTGATTTATTTACATTCAGTATTTATATTAAACATGGTGTCTTTGGTACTTGTCTCATTATTTTTTCAAGCCATTCAATAAACCATGGTCTCTATATTTCTGGGCTTCCCTGGTGGCTCAGAGGGTGAAGAATCTGCCTGCAATCCTGGAGACCCAGGTTTGATCGCTGGATCAGGAAGATCCCCTGAGAAGGGAATGGCAACCCACTCCAGTATTCTTGCCTGGAGAATTACATAGACAGAGGAGCCTGGCAGGCTATGGTCCAAGGGCTTAAAAGAATCAGAAATGACTAAGGGACTAATACTTCACTTTCACTTTTCTTCACTTGTGGTTTACCCTGAGTGTGGGATTTTTCTTGGAGACAACAGCCACTGATGTTCTTGAGATTAAATCTAAGTATACAGCCCTCTTGGGCACAGAGAACATAGCTCACTCTGGACCTCAGTTCCTCCCCCCTGAGGGTTTGGGAAAGGATGTAAGGAAATACAGAAATGCTTAGCACAGGATCTGACAGCTATGGTTAACTGTTGGTCCACCTCATCTGTGTGGACCTCTGTTTTGATAGTTTTCTTTCTACCTGGATGTTTTTGTTTATGAGTCTGTCCTCTTCCCGAGACTCCTCACAAGGTAAGAAAAGGGACAGCAGAGGCTGTGTGATTATCCATTCACCAACCCCTCCCGGTGCCCACCTCCCTTCCCCTGATCAAAGCCTGAACCTGCTGCCCATCACTGGTGCAGAGCTAGTTTCACTGCAGAACGACAGGAGTGACTGACAAGAGCAGCTGTCCTCTTACTCTGAATGCTTGCTTTGTATTAGAGTATAGTCAACTGACAATATTGTGTTAGTGTCAGGTTTAGACCAAAGTGATCACGTTATGCATATACATGGATCTGTTTTTTTCGAATTCTTTTCCTTTTTGTGCAGAGTTCCCTGGTCCATACAGTAGGCCTTTGTGGGTTATCTATTTTGAATATAGTAATGTGTATGAGTCAATTCAGACCTCCCAATCTATCCCCCCTCCGTCACTGTTCGCAGTAGCCAACACACAGAGAAAACCTAAATGCTGACATATGGATAGGTAAAGGAGCGGTATTTGTTTTTGCTGTTCAGTTGCTGAGTCGTGTCCGAGTCTTTGCAATCCCACAGACGGTGACTTGCCAGGCTTCTCTGTCTTCTACTGTCTCTCAGAGTTTGCTCAAGAAATGGTTGTGCATACACAATGGGGTTCTGTGGTGGCTCAGTGGTAAAGAATCCGCCTGCCAATGCAGGAGATGCAGGAGAAGGAGAAGATGCAGGAGAAGATCCCCTGGAGAAGGGAATGGGAACCCAGTCCAGTATTCTCTCCTGGGAAGCCCCATAGACAGAGGACCCTGGTGGGCTATAGTACATAGGGTTGCAGAGTCGAGCATGGCTTAGCAACTAACACACACACACATACACGTGCACACACATGCACACACATGCACACACGCATACACACGCACGCACAAACACACACATGTGCACAAACACACACCATGGAACATATATTAAATGGAATATAACCCAAGCTAACAAGCACTTAGCAAGTGTTTGATGATTAAATAAATGAAGAAGGACAAATATCCATGTTGTGGAGCAAAAGCCCTACATATTTTCTCTTTTATGCCTCTCAATGAAGTCTGATGAATCATTTGTGGATTTTGCCCTGGAATCACTAAGTCAATTTGTTCCTCCATCCTGCCCTGACTTCATGTTACCAATGAAACCTCAGCAATTCACTCTAATCCTTAACATATCAATTTAACTGTGTAAGGTGGAGTGACCTGAAAGGCTATGTAGATATTTCAATTCATCTATATAGTGAGGGCCATTTTCTACATCATCTCTTAGAGTGAAATGACTTACAAATTTAGTTTTTCATCAATTTCATTTATTATTGATTAACGGTGTTTTCAGGAAACCCCAAAGATAATCAAGGTATTAATTCTGAAGAAAGTTCTAAGTGTCTAGTTAATTAAAGCTTTAAAGGATCCCAGCATAACTGGGCAGCATACAGCAAGAAGGCTACCTGGGATAACTCAGTCAGCTCCTTCCCATCTGCTTTGCATCCCTGAATAATGGCGGGGGCTCCTCTTCATTCTGGGGTTGAAAGCTCTCGGTACCAAAGGATTCTTAAGTTGCTTCCCTTTTTACATGGTGGTAGCTGTAGACTTACTTTCCGTTTCCTTTTCGTCTTGACGTTTTTGTCTACAGAACACAATGTTAGTAGCGCTAAGTGTGAGAGTTAGGAGGGTAGGTAATCCGTTACTGCCCTTCTAACTCAAAAATGTAAAATTCTGTAGGGAGAAGGACAAACAAAAGCCTTGGTTGTTATTTTTCAGCTAGGGATTGTTCTCCCTGTGTAAAGTTAAAGACAAATGACTTTACAAATTCAATATTGATTTGTTGTAACTCACTCAGAAGAATTGATGGCACATGCTGTGTATTAAGCATCTGCAGTTAGAACAGTTTATACCCAAGCAGCATAGGACATTTGGTTCAGAGCCATTATTTAATGTAAAGCTGATTGAAACATGGTAGAAAAATGGGAAAATATAATGCATTGTGTTATAAACTCTTGGAAAAAAAATAACAACAGCATACTATGAAATAAATGACCCTAAAATTCTTCTACTTTTGACTGTAAGCCATTTATTTCATTGCCTTTGTTTCCATGAACAATCAATTTTCTTCCACCTCTGAAAAAATACCTGAAGTGAAACAAAATGGTATTTATTCAAAATTGCCAAATAGTCCTGTTAATGAAAAGCAATTGATCAAATATTGTCTTTTATAATATATTGTCTTTCTCTTTTGTCTCAGACACAGTTATTTGGAAGGGCACATTTTATGAGTTTTGTAGTTCCATTTTTTGGACAGCAGTGTAAATAATGCCTTAGCTACACTGTACAGTTAAAGATGCAGTTGTAACAATGTAATGTTTGATTTAGCTTCTTAACATGGTGTGGCTCATTAATCCACTATCTAAAACATGCCCTTATAAATGACCGTCCTAGCTGTGCTGGGTCACACTGTGTTATCCACTTATCACTAAAATCACTACATTCAGTCTTTGTCTGCTTATGTTTGGGATAATTTAAGAGCAAATGGAATGTATTAGTATGTAATATTCCATTTTTACTTACATTCCAGGGTGCTAAATGAAAAAAAAAAAGTTAATCTTGTCTTTCATAATTTCTTCCATTCCTGTCAGCTTCCAAACTTAGCAACATAATCACACAAAAAAATGGACTCCGCCCAGAAAAAGACTCTCCTTTCAAGCCTCTCTCTGTAAACAGGGATTAGTGCAAGCTAAGGAATGGGATAAAAAAGAAACTATTAATCCCTTTTTGATAGGGGTAAAACGAGAGATAAAGGAAAGGCAAAGCGTCCCAGTAATAGTCACCATTTGGAAAACAGTTTCAGTGTGATCCACTGCCAGAGCAGAATGAAGCATCTCTGATTAATGGCCCCAGACCTCTCTCTCCATTC